CCTTTTTCCAGGGGGGGGGGGGGGGGGGGGAGTGATGAGACGAGCGTGGGGGTACATGCGTGAGGGAGGGAGAGGGCTGGGAAAACACGTCCTTTCCGTACATGATTGTGATTCCCGTTAATGGTTCGTCGGCAGGGATGCAATTTATGGGGTGCCGAGGTCGTGAAAGCTGCCTGAAAATTGGGGTGGTTTCTGGCCGATAGATATAACATTGAAAGGCAGGGGGGAAGTCGAAGGGGACAGCCAACGGTGGTTTAACGCGATAAAAAGGATGATACGCAGAACACACGTAATTTCTCTTGAAAATCATATATTATCGATCTTATAAATGAGCAATCGTTATCGTACACGATAACTGTCTACTGATAATTTGTAGGTATCAACGTGGCATTATTTCATCGAACAAAAAAAAATATCTCTTAATTTTCCATACTTATGCGGATGACGTCACGTTTCTTTTTTTTTCAACATATACAACACGTCGTGTCCATTGTCTCGTAGGAGCACGTGTAGGCATTCATTAGAAGATAATTACGATTACGCAGATTATTTCTTTGTATTACCTTTCCCCCTCCCACAACCCCCACTTTGTTAACACTCGATGAAATTCTTAAACAAGATGATAACAGCTTTTTAATGACTAAATTAAAATTTTAAGCTGTCATTATTTTTGGAACATAGTATTTTATATAAATTTTACTTATGTCTTATCGAGTGGCGACTTCGATTAGTCTGATTCGGAATTGATTGAGTGACCAGATTCATATCGATCGATACATATATATCAGATAAGGTTATACGTATGAAGGAATAACGACGTGCTTATGGTAATTAATAGTTTCACGTAACGTGCGGCCATTTTAATTTGTCAAACGATATTTGCAATGCCTATTGATCGTCAAATTCAATTCCGCAATGTTGGACTTTAATACTGAAACAAATAATACGTGAGTAACGAGAGATGAAAAGTATGTTAAATAAATGAAGGGGCAACTGACACGTAAGCGTAAACAAAGCACAATGCTCGTTTTCGACAGTATATAATAAATACCTATATATAAAGGTTAGTCAATGAGAGCAATACGAGTAGGATGATAAAGTTACACATTATTACCTGAGAAATAAATAGATCAACGATAACAAGTACCGGTTACGAGTAACTGATAAAAAAGGAGTCGAAAAGCTAATGAATAGCGTTTAGATTGTTTTCAGGAGAGTTCACGAAAAAAAGAAAAACAAGTTATCGGCGACCGCTTCCCAAAACAGTAGTTTATCACGAAGCACGATGATAAGAGGGCACGAGGGTTTTCCGGTCGAGTTAAACTTTAGTTTTCTCTCTGTCTAAATACGAAGGTCTGACAAGGAGCACGAAAATCATACGTATTCCTTTGTGCACTACGCTACTAGCGATATCGACAGGAATAAGACATACCGCATTTAAAACGTTGGCTAGACTGCAGATGGTTCTCGATGTTTCCGTAGTTCGTTTAGTTCGAATAAAATTCACTAATTCAGTTGGTCGCTTGACTTCGTTTTTATCGAACACGTGCACGTTTCTATAGGCGTTATCGGCCATTTGATTCCAGAAGCTCGTCTAAAGAAGTAACAAGGTTAACGGCGAACGACGAGAGGCCTCATTTATTTTTCTACGTTCCGTCACCATCGCAGGGACACAGTCTTCGTGTAAAAAGACGCGAACTATATGGACAGTGGAAGGAAAATGTATAGTGAGAGACACTCGTGACGTATACAGCCTATGTTTTGGTTTGCTTTCCCGTGGACGTTCGTCGCCGTCGGCGGTTGGCGTTTGTTTTTCTTTTTTTGACCTGCCTGGTAGGTACGACGCTCGCAGCCCAAACCGAGCACAAAGAGCTTTGAGGTATTTCTCATAGATGTTTCGATAGGATATAATGGTGGATTGAGAGCGTAGAATTTCGTAATACTTTTTTTTCGAGTCATTTGCCTACTCTGAGATTCTTTAGTGTTTCGTGACAGTCAATGCGTCGGTGCTCTATGATTCACGTAGTGCGACAGGGCTTATCGACTGCGGCGATAAGAGCGCCACGATTCCATTTTTTTTTACGGGAGAAAGGAGCACTAGAAACGCGTGTTAGTTTCGCGCTTGTACAAGAGAGACAGACCGATGGGAGCCAACGAGTGAGAGAGAAAGAGGGAGAGAGAAATTACGCGAAAATGGAAAGTTAGATTCCCATAAGATTCCATTGGTGAAAGAGGAAGTTATCGACGTAGAGAAATATCAAATAAGCAAACGTACCAATATTCGTGCCTATGACATTGACGAAACGCTCGACCATTACCATAAGTTATTTCTAGATAAAATTTACGTAATTCATATAAAATGGCTGCCGTCCCGAGGAACGAAAGTCACTTTTGTTTGATCTCGATTATTTAAACCTTGAGAGAGCGATCGACTCTTCGACGTATAAAAATGAAATATAAATATATATTAAACGTACGAGAATAGGCTGCGTGTAGAAAAGTGACAAATATATAAATCATTATTATTAAATCCGCATATCAACAGAAATCCAAGCATTGCCACGTCCGTTCCACGAGGAGCCCTCAGTTGCAGTTATATAGAAAAAATTACATTAAACGTATTCCCACATACGGCGTATCCGCGTCACTTCTACAATTACGTAAGCAGTCGACAAGCAGGTATGATCCTTGATAAAGAAAACGAAAACGAAGAGGAAAAAAATTAAGTACCCTCGACACGCAACGAGCTGTGCTGCGGAATGACACTAACCACATAAACGTACGACATCGATATAACTATTTCCGACAATTCCCGACCAAAGCGCAGTAATCCAGTCGATTTATAAAGACTCAGAACTATTCGGTAAAAGTGAACCAGCCGAGGTCGATATTACCATAGAATTCAAATAGCCAGGTAAGCTTCGGTCGATGCGTTCGCCCCGAGCCACCCTGTATACATAGATTGCGCGCGACGCAGAACGTGATATCGACTCGAAATAAATTTTCATAATTTCTGGGATTGTAAAAAAAGCTGTTACACCCAAAGAAAAACAAAAAAAAAGAAGATCGGCAATTAAAATGCACATGCATATCAGAGTCATTAATAATAATTTTTTTTTTCACTTTTCCATATAGCGCATTAAGTACGCGAATAGCACAGGCCTGTCAGTATCGATAGATACACATGTTGCTACCTTCGCAAATTATAACTGTATACACATATAGGTATAAGGCTGTACTGGCCGTACGTGTAAACACATATGTATATATGGATACGCGCGTACGTCTTGCGTGGTCATCTACTTTGAGCCAAAGATAGAGGCTGACATCATACATATAAGCATCGTACGAGTTGAAAATGCGATAAACATATACGCATTTATACAGCAGCATATACATACATGTCACATGCATCACGTACGGCACGTATGCGCGAGGAGACCAGGATTTTACTATTCGCATTGAAAACTGTCTCGATCGAGTTAGCCGAATGGATGCGAGAGGTCGGACATCTTGGAATTAGAAAAGTGCGTCTTGGTTACGATAGACGCAATTGCGTGGGAATTCGAAATCGTGCATGTTTTAATGTAGGTACGGGCGATAAGGTGTCAGGTTAGGTGCCCAGTTAAATTTCCGTACTGCGGGAGAGAGTGACGTAACGCGTGAAAAAATAAATACTTGGTGTAAAAGTTTTTGAGAATTCGAAAGATTTGAGTATCCGTTTCGATTGTATAGGAAAATCGATGGGTTGACGTATACCTTGCGTAAAGACGTAAACATATCGATAGCGAAGTGACGTCACCGGTAGCTGATAAGAGCATCGCGCACGATTCCTCCGGCACTCGCGATTTATTGACTTTGTAGCGTAAAAGTTACAGGATTCAAAGATTCTTCTTTTCTTTCTACCCGAGCTCGTTATACAAAATTTGTGTACGAGTATCGAGTTTGCATAAAGACCATTCTTTTCTTATCGTATGCCCAAACGTACTTCCGACTTTTCGTTCGTCTTCGATTCCGACGACCTTGTCAGCCCAGTTGTATACAAGATATTCGTAACGTCAGATCTATTCTGGGTGAGAAGATAAGGCTGACTGATAAAAGTCGCAAAGTCGTTTAGCCTCAATGAGACCGTGTAAGCCCGGCAGACGACAGCCCGTTGGAAATGCCAGAGGAACGCAAACGTAACGGACGAGATGGATTCGAACGGATCGTAGAAAGTCTACTGAAGTCAGAGTGACGTCACAGAGCTTGACTCAGCAATCCGCCCGACGGTTCTACTAACGGCCTAAGAGTCTTTTATTTGAATTTCGTGAACACAAAGTTATTACCTTGCGATTTGATCTTTTTATATACCAGGGAGCCCGATGTATAACCTCAAAAGTCACTAGGTACTTGTACACATGCACGTACTGTGTCTTGACTCTTTTTTTTTCCAGTCCAGACGCGTCGCACGTACGACGCAACAAACTATAGTCAAAGACACTATAAGAGTTATGACTCTCCGTAGAACGCAGAGAACTCTGGCGAAATACAGAGCGCTGCTTTTATACGCGCTGTATACCGAGTGACTCTATAGTAACGACAATTATCGGTACGGCTGGTAGTTTTAAGGTGAGGTATGTAAAATAACTACTTTTCTTCCCTCCCTAATTTACCAAATGTCCTCGCCCAGCTCAGTTCAGTTTACGTTTGATCTATAGTGTCTGCTAAGTAGATTAACTGTACTGTATGTATTTTTAACAATGCATTCGTACCACGAGTAAACGAGATTCGACGGGACTGGCTTGCGTTACAAAATCCTAGAAGGATGACCCTTCCCGCAGCTATTACTACTGAACAGACTATACCGTCTTCTTAATCCATTGGCATAAGACCAATTTAATCGTTTTTACAAATCTTAAAAAGCCCTTGTCCCAAGTCAACTAGCGAGTCGTTGGCTTGCTTACCTTTTAGAGGTCGGAAATTCAAGCGTTTTATTCGAGGCAGGGTTGCACTGGTGTAGGCTCGCGTTAATGCAGGCATCTCGTATTCCTCCTTGTTAAGCGTTGACTTTGATGATGACGTTGATTCCGTCGACGTCACTTCTAACTGAGGCACGACTATACGCTTTGCAGCTACCTCTTCTTCGGTGTGGATCGACTCTGCGACTAACGAATGAATGGGGATCAATGGAAATGGTTAATGGTATAATTTACATTCATTGTATTATATAGTATATATATATACGATGGAACAAGCTAGATGCCTACGTCATGACGATGTGTCATTTGTTTAGTATGTGAATTGCGACATTTTTTTCGCGGACACGTAAGTATGTTGCCACCGTGTTGCGCGCAGTTGCTTTGCGAAACAGGTTACTCGGAGGACATTTTCATGCAACAAGGAAGCATGAAAAATTGATAAAAATGAAAAATTCAGCGCTCGCGCATAAAGTCTTTCTAAATGTCGCTCCTCGACCTAGTGTTTCGTGACTTACTTCTGTCACGCACGACGACCGCGCATTCTGTATTTTTCTTTGCTTTGTGTTTTTTTCCTTCCAGTTTCTCGAAGGTCGTTGCTACCGAGTAGGTATCGTGTAAGAAGTAGATCTACCTACACTGAACATTACTCCTGTTCACATTCCTCGGTACAGAATACGGCGTTAAAGCGCAACAAACGCACTTGCTATTGAGTTTGATTAGCTCAGTACATACGTATACGTATACACCTGGTTATTCAGTCGAAACGTATCGACTGAACATGTTTTTACCATAAGAATCAAATGGGCAATATGTATATATGCATACACACACAAATATATAACAGGAGCGTATCGCATTGCAAAGTCAGAATGTATCGGATGAATGTTTTATAAAACGCAGCGGTCAGCGTTCCTGTTCAGCAGTGCCGAGTTTTCCACGAGCAACTACGTAGGAAGGAGAAGAAGATGGTTCGCATAAATTGAAGCGGTTCCCAGCGGGCAAGTAAATATTCGAAGCGAGTACGACGAATTATTTGAAAAAGTGAAAAGAAAAGTAAAATATATTGAAGGAAGAGAAAAGAGCTAGGAGCTATTACCGTGCAGGAAGCGCTTATACGTATTGAGATAAAATGTACGTGATTAATTAGAATCTTGTCTTGACAGATAGTTACAGGCACGTGGACGTATGTAAATAAACATAAAAGCATTGGTTAGCACAAGTGTAAGCACACTGCTTGTGTATTACAGTAGTGTGAAACTATATTAGAAGTCCTACGCCTACGTTTATACTTTTATAAAAGACTCACGTCTCTTGCTCGGCTGTCGTGGAACGAGGAGCGTCGGAGGTTGAGCGCGACGACGGTTCACCGTTGACTGCGTGCCGCTTGGACAGTTTGGAGCCACGAGCGATATCTTTGCACTCATCTTCGTAGAAGGCTTTCCTGACTCACGGACTCGGAAGTAAATTGACGAAGGTCAAGCTGCAGCCGTGCTCGTGTTCTCTTTCAGGATGGATTCTGCGATACACCGGTTTGCCATTGGAATTTCCATATTGGGTGTACTCAGCCCTGAGCCTTTAAATAAAGAGAGAAATATTTCCTGTTAACCCTGCTGCTCGTTATTTCGATTGAACGTTACTTTCACTCGTGTCACCGGGAGGCCGAGGCTGTGGACCTGTTTTAACACATTAAAGGCGGGAGTCGTAGTACTACGATTTATCTCGACTGTAGCTTAAAGGCGGGAGTCAAGATCCCCCGCCTTTAATGTGTTAATATGCCTGAGGAAGGTTGATAATATTTTTAAACTTCGAGACACTCCTTTGACAGCACTGACTTACCCGTGATGCATCTTGGAAAAATTTCTAACCTCCAATTGTGACACCTATGGCTTTCCCTAGTCCCTTTTTTACCGAGTTACGCGTCCCGTCGGTAATTTACCACTGTTAGGTCCGAGTTTTGTCGCGTGGGACGATCAATAGATTACAGTAGTCTAGTAGCGTAGCATTGTTTCTCTTGTATTCAAGTACAATTTTATTAAGTTGTGATTGATTGTCTTCTCGCAGTTTTATTTTTTTCCATTGTGATGGTATACGTCAATATTATTTATTACCGTGACGTTACTACTCGAGAGACGAGTTCCAACCCTGGCTAGACAGCGATTCACTTCTATGATGAATAATTCAAGAATAACTAGGAAGGAGGTTACTGTACTATTTTAAATTAAGCGCTACTGCTATACCGGCTTTGACGTAGGTTATGGGCGAGTGACTGATTCGATGAAAAGACACCTGGTGATTATTTTTAATTTATCTGAAAACTGACACGTCGCGAAGGATAGCCCTGCATGAGTCATATATATCGCAGTAACGTCTACGCGCACGAGGTGCTTTGAAATTTATCAAAATTATCAATACTTCTCACTTCGTTCCAATAACGTCCATTTGTAATTCGCGCATGCGCACCGTAACGCGCTAAACCCCCTTCGAACAACAAATACATGAGTCATAAAAGGGATTAATTCTCGATACTAATTTTACACAAGCAACGAACTAGTGAAAGATCTCGTGTTTCTCTAAACGATAAAAAAATATGAGAATGAAGTAAAGGAGAGGAAGCAAGAAGTATTTAAAAAAAAAAAAAAAATACAAATGAATAGGCCTGGCACGTTGACTTCTTGACTCATACGTTCGGGATCGCAGACCGAGCACCTTGAGGAGGGAACAGGAACTGACTGCTACGCCAAGGCAAGCCGGAGTTCTTGATTCTTTGTCCTACCTACAAGCCAAGCAATTACTAATATCCGTTGATATTTGAAAAACCGTAATCCTTAGTCACAGAATGATACGAGATATGATCTTGCTTGTTAATATATTAAATAATCAAATCAATAGGAGCTTGTGTCATTATACACTGTCTACATAGTGAACGTCTTTAAGCATATGAACAAGTTTAACCACTGAACGACAATATTAAATAGAACTTACATACCTACTCTGAACAAGTACGTAACGACATCTGAATTATTTTCATGCAGTATAGTTACAATCCTATGACTCTGATACAGGTATCCAGGAGGTGGTAAAAAGAATGGAGAAAGAGATATGTAGAAAAGACGCAAAAGAAATACTCAGAGTGCTGTGACTCGGCCAGACTGCGGATCACTGGACGATATACATTTGAATAGAATTCAGCCGCAAGGAGAAAACGCAAGGCTGCGACAAGGACTCCACAGCTTTAACGTTGTATACCGAATGACTGTTACTAGTCTATCCACACTACTACATTGCTGTTACTACACAACTAATGCTTATCCTACTATTGACTATTTGCCATTAGATACGGTCTCGCATTACTATTAGACTGCAAACGCTGAAGATATTTTATACATACTTCTCTTATAGTTGGCAAGGTTCTCTATACATATTCTTGTGTATATATATACATATATATATATATATATATATATATATATGTATTTAGTAACTCCAATGAGACTAGCAGTCTCTTTTCTTCCTCTATCTGAATGCTTTATATGGTTTAATTATGGTTATCGAACATTCTTCAAGTACGTTAATAATGTAGCATTGGGTTTCTTGCTTCAACACTGTTATTGCCTGACTATTAATTATCTCAGCCACCCCAGACTTCTGTTCTTCATATTACCATGATCTTAAGACCAGCTTTAGACATTTATTCATTGATCCAGGTGCAAGTATATATTGTAGTTATTTTTTTAATTGACAGTATTACTTACCACAAAGAGAAACTTTATGGGGATAAAGGGACACATGAGTCCCATCCGCCTCTTCTCTATGCATTAACGCTAAAAGGCTTTTCCAGATTTAAATAGTTAAAACTACCTCGTTCCTCCCTATACGATCAATCCTTACCCTTACAAGGCTTAATTCAGGGGGGATTCTCCTATCTTTGTGGGACCTGGGGGAATTCATGTTAGGGTACTATATTGTAATCAAAGGGTTGATACCAAATGCGCTGTAGTATCTGACACCTGGGTTACCAAAATCCATAAACATAATTCAAAGGGATCTACGTTAATGCACCTTGTATATCAACTTAATCTACATCCACCAAATGGGTCCTGGTTAAATTGCAAATTTCTAACTTTACTTTTTCCACTGGGCTACTAACTCTAAACAAAATGGACAATGCGATTCACAGACTGTAGATTCATTCGAGTTGCATGAATCATGGACTGCTGACTGTTTTGATCCTTTTCCTAGAAGTTGCCCAGGCATAATGATGCTTGGCGAACAACAGTGAAAGTATTAAGAGTCAATGTAAATCTTGCAATAGGTCGGGACGCTGCGCAACATTTTTACTCTCCTTCTCTCTCGCTCTCTCTTTCTGTATCTGCCGGAAGAGCAAAAGAGTAATTAATAGCAAGATAATGAAGATCTGTACAAATTATTCCTGCGTAATCAAGAATGATTTTCAATTTTAGAAACTGGATCTCAGGCTCCTGGGAATGATCTTCAGTAGGGTGAAATAGGTATGCCGCAACAATTAGGGTGACATACGGAGCGTGTTACCAACGTAATCAAATCACACGGAGCCCCATTTCCAGTTAGCAGCACCACGCGTTGACAAACTACTGAGGGTTGAAGAACCCCTCGGATCGGACTACCTATGTTCTATGTATATAGTATTGGCACATGTATTAGAGTTGATTCATCTGTTTGCTTTTTATTATCTCCCAGCTAGACGATGCTTTTCCCTATATGACGTATAAGGGGATGCTTGTCTTTCACCAATCAATTTATGGGGTTGGCTGCTCTGAGCTGCTTTTTATCCTAAATGCGAGGGTGGCTACTGAAGTCTCGATCCTCTAAGGTTTATTTATGAGTCAGACACTTCGGTATTCCATGGATGGGATATTTATAATGATGGTGACTGTACCGATGACAGAGATATTCTATATTCTGTGAATGGAGACAAGAGGAATTTTTACTCGGTAAAGGCAAGATATTTTATCTTGGAAATTTGTATTGTTCACTTGTATAAATAGCATTGTATTTTATACGGTAGAGTAGGGGACAATGGATGCCGATATATCTACGTTACTGGGCACATCGATCGTACTACTTTTAGAATTGCGCAACACACGTTTTATCTATTATTTCCATTTCAGTTCGTGAGAAAGTCGACACGCTTTTGTTACTAGTTACTGATTATTTATCTTTAATGGTATTAACATTTACTATTTTACACTATTTTACTAAATTTTCGAGTTTTAGAAAATCCTAAACAGTCCCGGTCTGACAATACGTGTGACTTATCTACTGTCGTGTCCATTAGTCACGTAGAATCTGAACGAAAGGCATTTACTTCTTTTTTGAACAATAAAGCATTCATGCACCATTGAGAAAAATCAAATTATTCCTAAAATGCCCAAAATAAGTTAAGACAAGCTCGTATTAAAGAATATTTGATCAAGGATAGTAGAAAGTACACAAAGGAAATTATACGTATAAAAATAAAGAAACCAATGAAAAGCTAGATAAAAATGTATTAAAAAATTCAATAAGAATAACGAATAATAACCTTTCAATGTAATAAGAATCAACCAAGTGCTTGTAGCTCTTCCATAGAGAATAGTTACGAAATTTCCAATTATAGATGAATATCCAGTAATCCAGGTATTATCCGGAGGAGGATCCTACCGTGGGAACTTATTGGAACGTCGTGAAGGATCTTAAAAGGTCGTCTCGTACAAGAGCAAATATAACAAGAGAAAACTGAATCCGAATAGTCGGCACCGCGACGAAGCACTGAGCACTTTTCCACGTAAACCTTCGAGGCGTCTCAACGGCAAACTCCGTCGTCGTCTACGTCGATGTGGAAATCGCCAGGACTATTACCACTACTATTGCTACACTCCTACAAGCAAACCGGTAATGTAACCGTTATTCCTGTGACTCCGAGAGCTTCCGTTAAAACGTCGTCTGCTGCTACATAGTGACGTCCTTACGTCGCGACGTCGTATCCTAGGCAACGACTTCTCTCTCTTCTTCATATGCGTACTGGGCGTGCGCAGATACTCTACATCATCCTCCGTCTAGATGTCTAGATGGTCTGGATATAACCTCCATGTTGCTTCGCGTGCTCGTCCTTATGGCTATATGGATCGAATCGATCCACTCACCTGCCTGCCTTTAGGCAGAGTTTCTCAACGTGTCTTTCTTTAATCTTTCGCTGTGCATCTTCGAAACTTCATCAAGATTGGATAGAACGCTTTATTTTACGATGACATTCGTTGCCACGACTAAAGAAGCCGAGAGAAGATCGTCTCCTAAGGACACTTTTAGGTTAGCACGAATGATCTCTTTGCAAGAGATTGAAAACGATTGTGTCTGGTAATGATGAAGTCTGGTAGGGATTCCATTTAAATAACATAATTTACTTGCATGATTTCATTTGATTCTTATTATACAGTTGGATGATCGAGCTCTCGTTGTAGAAATATTTTGTATGTATATAATACATTGTTGCGTCTGGTGACATCAAATAGTACAATTATTTGTGGAATTTTAAGTTCTATCAGAAATGTATTCTTGTAAATGACTTCACTACTGACGAGGATATGTATGCATTTAGATTATATCGATCGGTAGGATACGTCATAGGCTGACCTACAATCGACCCCTCGTGACACACTTGGGATGCAGGGAATCGTGATATTTCTACCTTGATGTTAAAGAAGGATCTGAGAATCTTATGTACTTTATCTAGTTTTTAATCGGATGCTTTGTCAGGCTGTTTATTTTTCTTAATGGAACACTGGCCTCGTTAGATAATTAAAGTCGAACGTTATATCTTTCATATAGAATTTTTTAATCGAGTTTTATATCAAAAATCAAATGTCAATCGATACACCCTATTTCTTTTTTAAACGCGACGCGTTATTAATATTGTTTTCATAAACAAAAACAGCTTCTGTAACATCACGTTCCAGAAATTCATCTCAATTTCGATGAAGCCAACGGCGCAGCTCCCGTTAGGCAACTCGACCGATCCGAGGGGGTCGATACAGCATGCGCAACTCATTCACCCTGAGGAAATTATTCAGCATGGACCACTCGTGACGTGTCACGTTATAATCATCTGAAAAGCGTGCTGTTACAAAAAGAAAAGAAAAAATATATTATTCTCCGTATTGTACAATTGAAAGACAAGAAAGAGTGTTTTAGTGATAAGACTCGTGGCCTTACCGTACGTTACACGGTACTAAACAATAGAAAATGAATAACAGACAGATTGTCAGCGGAAAGAAAAATAAATTGAAAGATTTTTAAACAAAGTACGTACCGTATGACTTTATTGTTATAAATTATTAACAATAACCGTGAAGAAATAATATACGTTATTGTTCTGCGTATAATTCGATGCGTAATGTATGTTACATATCTTATGTAATAAAAGGTGTAAAATGTTTTTGAAATTTACGCGGAACCTGATTAAATAACAATGTTGATATAATATTTATTGTTAATTTAAGATACATTGTCATGCTGAAATGTTCAAATGATAATGGAAGGCGCGGAGCAGCGCCATAACCAGATTGCGGATTTAATAAGAAGCACAAGACGAGGAAGTACAACAGGGAGGAATATATTGTTTTAAAGAAAAGTAAGAGAGACCTTACGTGACAACGAAGGTGTCACTGAGGTCGATCGACGATCTGATGCAATCATTTCTCCTAACGAACAAGTAACGATTCACCCGGTGACTAATCGAGGCATCGATATCACAATGGGGACCAGATTTGCCTCCTGTAAATATTGGACATTACTCACGACTCTGATTCGTCGTGATTCCATTTTACTCTTAAGGTATTATTACGTGTTATATTAATGCAATTTATTAATCCGACAGATACACTCAAGCTTACTAGTCTTCACGATTATTATCAACGGCTTCTTCATGGCAGCCAACCTATACCTTCCGGATTGGATATGGCCAATACGGTTAAATATTTCTCACAAACTCTCCTCTGTAAGATGAATTTTCAATGTTGTATAATAATTTTTCATTTAATTATATTATCTTTTTTTTAAACATCCTTTACTCTCTTTTTAGCACTTTTCAAAGATGTGCCTGGTTCACCACTGGATATGATTAAGTCACAGGAATTTGATGCACAGCGAATGGCTCTTTATCCGAATTTGGATTACAAGCAATTGTACAATGCTCTTATGCAATTAATGGACGTTGTACCATTGGTACATGTTGGTCTACACGGTCGGTCTTGACAAAATAAAATATTAAGATTCAGTGCAGATAAGAATTGAAATAAAATTTAGGGATTTTTTAGTCATATCAAACAAGTGATTCCCCTGCTAGTTTATTTTTTGTCAGATAATTCTCTATACGCTCGAGCATTAAATTAGCAGTTGTTCAGGCGTTTGTTATATTAATTAACGAAATAATTATTTGAAACGCATTCGCGTAAACGTTTTTGATTTAATAATTTTTATTTAATTCGTAAAATTGTATTTATCTGAAATATTGGATTTATATGATTGGCAGCTTTCGGAGAAGCGATATTACAATGCCTCGCTTGTCTTCTTCCTTTCCTGGAACAAGATCTCATCGACAATTTGCCTTACTTGACCGCCAGTGCTATATCCGTTCTTCCCGTCGAGCTGCATCAGGAGATTGTCAACTATCTCTGCTTCTACATACTCCCTTTCACGATCAGTACGTTCATTCTTTTTACTCTTTCTCGCTCTTTCTCGCTCTCTTTGTCTCTCCCTCTCGCGATTGAATCGTCAGATCGACTTTTGAAAGGCATTCTACTCGTATATATATATATTTCAGCACGCAAGATAGAGGACGGGAGCGAGAATTACGCAAGCCAGTCTATCTCCGCTGTAATTATGATGGTGTTCCAGTATTCGAGTAATCCTGGTAATTATTGATTCCAATTTTATTGAACCAGATCGAATAACGATAATATGATAATTAATTTAAAATCATTTACAGCACATCACTGTCAGTTACTGGAATGCTTGATGGCTTTAAAACCAGGAGTAGTTAAAGATATTCTCTGTGTCGTTGCCTACGGTACTGCACCTGCACGTGCATCTGCAGCAAAGTTACTCTTCTACTATTGGCCTACCTTCAATCCAAACTTGTTTGACCGTCGCGCAGTCCTAGTTAAATTTGCAAGTATGTAAAAGATTGTCTATGGGCCATGTAAAGTAGAACAAAAATGGGCAATTGGTCTGTCATCGGTGTGTCAGCTGGATGTATCATTGAATTACAAATTCTTTCTTGCAGATGACCTAACACCATTTGTCTGTCAAAGGGACTCTTGTCCAAACGCAGGAAATGCCGAAGCTGGAAAAGTCTGCTACGATCATTGCATCTCCATCACCTTCGCCACCGAATCCCCACCACCTCTTTATCTCTGCATCGAATGCGCCAATGAGATTCATCGCGAGCATCCAAATCAAATGTTCTACGACATTCTACATCCCATGCAACAGGTCTCAATGATTTGTGAGAACAAGGTAGAGCATAGTATTTACCTCAAGCAGTGTAGCAGCATCGTTAATGATGTCGAAATAATTAATTCCTATAAATTAACACAGAACTGTAGAGCGACGGACAAATCAGCGATCAGCGTCTGTTTTTCAACCGAATGTGCAAGTTACAATGGAAATCATCCGATTCGCTATTGTCAACAATGTCACAACATTCGTCACAATAATCGTCGCGGTGGAGATCACGTTTATCACACAGCATTGCCTCACGTATCACAGATGGACGCTCAGATGCAGACTTACATGGTCCAAGCGATAGTCAGGTATAAATTTATAAAATTTTGTAATCTACGCCTAATATACACATTTCGCGATTGCTATTACACAATAAGGAACAAGAATCGCGTCCAGCAATTGCACGATGCATGGACCGCGTTACGATCGTCCATGATTTCGGACCAAGGGAGTCATCTCTAATGTTTTGCAAGGTGTCACACAAAGCCGAGAATCCCAGCTGTTCCTGTCTCTCCTTTTTAATTGAAAATTCAAAAGACAATATTCAAAACACATAACGCGTTACATATCAACATCAGTCTTGAACTTACGGCATGGTTGTGCGTTGTAATATTATATAATAATTATATGTAAATCATATATACAACATTGATCGACTGATCGTACAGCAGTACAAGTAAACGGGTATCGAAGTACTAATCAATTATCGCAGGATCTTTGTTGCTTTGCGTGTTTGTCAATGCCGGTCCAACCCGCTTGGTAAGACACAATCCTACGTCACGTCCGGAAAGATGCAAGAAATTCAGAATCTATAATTGGATGAATACTATTATTTGTTTTCAAAAATTCTTGTCGGACGTGGCTAACAACAAAAAATGCTATAAGTTTCTTCCCTAGCTGTACCGTGAGCACGGGATGGCTGTGTGATCTTTGTAGAGAAATTATTCCTTTTTTTCTTTTCTTTTTAATTATTTGAATTAAACGACAATCCCGTTCTCACGCTTTTGTAAATACCTCTTTGCTATTGTTATATGTTGCCTTAGGCTGTTTTTACAAGGAGGTATTTACTCGTATGGTGTAGCGTTAGGTGACTGCACTTGATAACTGTATTATCCTGTACCGAGGACACTGCACATGTAGCACACGTCTGGTACAACGATACAACACAAGAACAAGAATCTATCTGACGTTGCACAGCACTTAATACATAAATCCATCAACCTACTCGTCATTCTCACGGTATACGTAGACGCGTTACACTGGTATGCCACGTTTGTAATCTGTTTAATGATTTTACATGCAGATCAATTAGTCAAACTATTTGTCGATTGATTTTATAGAATTATTTATATTTTATTAATCGCATGTAAACCGCTTCGACTGTTGTGTTTATTACATATTTAAAGATTTATACTCAGGAGATTGTACAGTCTGAATTTAAGTGCATGTGGTTTTATCTGGACGTTGACAGTGATGATAAAGAAAAATTTCAAATTTAATCTAGCATTAATATTCACTGTATATTCTATCACTGTAATCTAGAGTGATAATTAGTATTGATTAGCACTCTGAACATTTTAATTCGTATGATTTATACGTTCGACGATCTCAGGTTGCGTCTGTGCTATCGAAGGGATCGATTAATTTTTGATACTTGTCATATGTGTTACTAACTTTTTCTATAAATTTATTAACAATATTTAATCACTCGTCGTCGATATTTGTTATATTTATTAATTAACTTGTCAATGTCACTGAACGTGGAAACTGTTATTCTTCGATGTTCGGTACAGTTTGTTCACCTAGTTTAGAATTAGGGACGAATTCATTGCTGATACCAAATAATTAATAGACGATAAAATTAATGACGATCGGGCATTACTAATTAGAAATAAAGTCGATTAATTCTAAACAAGGTAAAAGAAATATCGGCCACGAGTGACACGCGTGAAAGGAAATAACGTTAAATATAAATATTGGATCAAGTATCAAGAACAATCAGACGCAACACGAGATCGTAATTCTTACAAGATGATCATCAAATATTTTATGTATTTGCAGCCTGCTCAAGGAGGCTGAACCGCTAAGTATGGATAGTAACAGAGACCTCTCGGAAATAAGTACTAATAAGGGCAGCACAGGATTCCCAGGAGGAGGTGGTGGCGGAATATGTGGCGGCGGTGGAACAGTCGGTGGACGTCTAGGTCAATACGATCCAGCTACCCTGGAGGAACGTCAGCTACTTGGTCGCTATGGAGTTTGGCTTCTCGTCGGACTTTGTACCCCGAACCAGGATACTTCTGTTCAAATACTTGGACGTTTATTGTCAATGCTATTTCATTGGTTTCATGTCACTGCCTACTCTTTCGATGGTACTAAAAAAAGCCTTATGCACCTTATCTTTTCTGTTGGTAATTTAACACTTCGCATACACTATTGAAGTAGAAGTAGGAATTAGGTAGCGATAATAGAGCCGTGATCGTAGGCACATTCTACGATCTCACGTCTACTCTCCAATTTGGTCGGGGCCTGTGCGCTACACTATGTCTTACTCGTATGTCCAAACTACTGCATGTTTGTACACAGATCCATGTAATAACAATACCACACTAAAAATCGCTATGTAAAATGGCTGCTTGGATTGCGTTAAAATTTATGTTAATTCGTATGCCTAATGCATTGAGAAGAGTGCGCCTACGTTGCGGTGATTTAATTAAGCGTCCGGTGTGTAGAATTGTTGGTGATAAAAATTGAGAGGAAAAAATGAGAGAGAGAGTAAAATGAAAAACTGGGTCAGTCAATTAGAGATATACATTTAACGTATAAACGTTCTACGCATCGACGCCATTGTAGGCCAATTTAATTTGGCATTAATTATTGACTAAGACTATGGAACCGTGCAATTCTCTAATTGCGTGTGTGAAGGGCATTACGCGTGCCAAGCTTGTTCTATTCGATTATTGTTACTCGTGAAGAGGCAGATGCGTGCATTCGAGATGTATTGAGAACATTAATCTGTCAACTGTCATTGGAATTTATTAAGACAGAAGTGATTTATGGGAGAACGTATTGTCTGTTAATTCATTCAAATTGTATTCAAACTTATGACGATCGAGTATGTAGAGGAGAGGGTAGAGATACGTAGAAAACGATACGATGAAAATATATTAGTAATATATTCCTCGTACGTGGATCTTATAATCTGTATTGATTTTTAATCGATCATTTTTTTTTCCTAGGTCAAGCAGACAGTACTCTTGAGAAGCTTAAGACCGATTACGTTCGCGGCTGGTTGTCTGAAGTTATGAAGAGCCATTATCATGTCTTCATCTCCTGTCTCTTGCCACATCCTGCTGATTATGTCAGAGTCGGTGGTCATTGGTAAGTGGCCTCTCTGAATTTCACTGTAATGAAAAATAATAAATTAATATTTACTCTTCTTTTAAATCTTACAGGGAGACTTTGGCTTCGAGAACTTCTCATCTGAAGGATGGACTGAATCGTCTCTTCTGTTTGGTTCCTTATGAAGTGATCACTCCTGAGATTTGGGACTATGTCATGCCTCACTGGATGGAAGCCATGGTGAATGATGTCCCGGAACACGAGCTGCATGAATTAAAGATAATACTTTGGTAAGACTTTGGCTAAATATTCATCAATAAGACTCCTCAATTTTTTTAATTATTATAATACAGTAACAAATACTGTTAAGTATTGTTTATGTCCACTTGTCATTTCAGTAAAATATTGGATCCTGATCTTAGTCCTCTGGGCTTCGATGCAAAGAAGATGTACAACTTTGTGGCAAAGCGATTTGTTAATACCTGTTCAAAAGTCCAAGAGCAGGCTCTTAATTGGCTGCAAATATTAACCATGCTGGAAATTATGATATCCCTGGATCAACTCTTCTCCATGTTCAGCGATGGTGTCGCAGTAATGAGAGCTACGAATCATCCGACGGATTCTAGTGACAAGGGATTTGCGTCTAATAAAAATAATACAGATGCCGGAGAAAGGAGTTCGATATGTTAGTAACTTACTGGTAAATTATTAATAACCCTTTCTTGAGCATTTTCATATTTTATTCTTAACCGACCAAAGCTCCGGTGATGGATGACGAGTCTGGTAAATCTACTCCGTTGTCTGATGACATAATACCTACACCAAGACACATGGAATTTTCAACGGATGCTGAACTGAATCTTTCATGCTGCATCCTGATGCTGGATATATTATTGAAGCAGGTGTATAATCAATATATAATAATTGCATGTAGAGCCGTCGAGATACTATTCTATAATATTTGTTTTATTCTTGTAGATGGCTCTACAAGATATCGATAAACACACAGGAATAAACTCCTGGGTGTGCAGGGACGCCTGTCATTTAATGAAATCCATGGTAGCAGCTACCTGGAGTGGCAGCCACGTTTGCAAAGTAGACAGCGAGTGTACGTACTGCGAATCAAGAGTAATTTGGCACCAACTGTGTCTACAACTGGTGACATATATGGCTCCTGAAGAACCAGCACATCCGCCTGATGTACAATCACGATACCAACTGCATGATCCAGCTGTTTAATTAGCCTATAAGTCAAGCAGTAAAACAGATAAATAATTTTAGCTAATAATCGATGAATCAGCCGATGATTCAGACCGAAAGACACCGCCGGAAACGACAAAGAAGTCTGAATCTAAGCCGGATGTTGTGATCAATATGCCAGTACCTGAAATGCATTCCGTCGGCGGTGTCCTCGTTCACATGCCACACGTACGTTTTCTATTTATTTAATAATATATACACATTTATATAAATGTACAATCATATACACAAACACGCGCTATGTTGCACGACTCTGAAAACCACGTTACACCCAATGTCGTGTGTCTAATCTGTGTCTCATCCACCAAAGTGGCACGTGATCACGAAACGGTAGGCTAATTCAAGATGTAAGGATGGATATTTTGATCGTTTATATCAGTTCTTCGAACAGATTATGACCGCCACAGTAGAGACAGTTTCGGAGCAGTTGGATCTAACAGCCATAATGCCACCCGAGAAGGCCATGTCCGCAGTAGCAAGGGCCGTTACATTATCCGAAACGGATGTAGGTCAGTCTAATAACAAAAACAATAAAATTGCATACACCCTACGGTAAACAGAAAGTGGTTGTTGATTTACATGTTTTAGCAACAGCAACAGTCAACGTGGAGAAGCCTCACCTGATTGGGGAAAACGATCAGCCAGTTAATCTTAGTCCGGAAAATGAGTTGGATGACTTCTGGCACACGTCAGTTGGAAAATTTCGTTTTGTCATAGAGGATCTACCTGAGCAGTTGCAATACATTCATAAGTTGTTGAAGGTACTGTTTGATTAGACGATACTTTACGTAGGCATCATGTGCAATTATGTTTTACAGGAAATTATTAGTGTTGATAAACCTGACATACTCTATTATATGCTGCAATGCTTGAACGTCATGTGTCTCCATGGGGATGCGTTTAGTACTGCGGTTAAGGATCATCAAGGATTTTTCATATGGTGCCAAGAAAATTTATTGATTAAAAGGTACGTCTTTCTTCAATTCAAAGAAAGTTGTGCTACTTTGATTCTATTGAGTTTATATCCAATTCTAATTGTATTTTAGTTTATGGGAATTGCTTAATGCCGAACACTCACATATAGCACAAGTGACAGTGCCACTTTTGTTGCATTGCATTACGTTGCCTTGTGGTACAGATACTTTTTGGCGACTCGTACAAGAAGAGTTTCATAACTCTGACTGGCGCGTCAGATTTATTGCAGGTTCGCATGTCACTTATATTATCCCCTATTCTTACCAGGCGTCATAAATAAAACAATAAGCTCTTAGGGTTTCAATAAAAAATATTTTCAGTCGAAAGGGTGACCCTCATCGCAAGATTCATGGATTCGACGCCATTGCGAAATGTTCTGACTCTTCAAGCTGCTTTGGCAAATGCATTTTGCTACTTGATAACTAGTATGGATGACAGTAACGTTTACGTTGCTCAGCGTGCGACTTTATATCTTGGTACCATCCATGACACAGCAGTCAGGGTATGTAAGAAGGTGTAATATGAAAATCAATTGAATCGTAATTAATATAATTTTTAATCCATTCAACAGTCACTCATTTTGTGTCTGGAGACCCAATTTGATTCGGTGATAGTAGACAGGCCAATGGTATTACAGTCATTGTATCAGCTTCACAACAGTTTGAGTGATCGACGCATCCTGACCTGGGAATTCTTTCTCAATCGTTTCGATGCACTATTCTTAGAAGCCCAAATCAATTTAGAAAAATCCGGCGACATACCTTACTTACGTGGTAAGTTGTTCGAGGTATTTGTATCCTGTGTTCTCGATAACTAATAAATTTATATTGCCTGGCAGACCTCAGGAATACAGATTCCAATAGCGAAACGTTTGTAAGAAAATTGCATAGGGCTCACGAAGCTCTTACGCAATCAGACGGAAGTGGTACCAGCTCCGTCAAGACACTCAGCGCAAGTTTTGGCACAAAATGGCCGTACAAACGTACAATGTCTGCGCCGGCTTCAATGATACCTCGTCAAGACACCAAGCAAGGTATTTATATACAAAAAGAAGACTAAACAGATAAATTGTCAATTCAGAATCCCTTAATCAAAGATCAAATTCAAATAATTCATAGGTGAAATTAAAAATCTATAATTAAGTAATAATTGTCTATCTCTGATATCCATAAAAGGGCACAGTGATAAAATCCATGTGGACCCACTAAAAGCATCTAGGATTTTAATTATAAATATTAATTATTTATCTAATTTAATATCATTTTTTTTCACACAACTTCTACGTACAGAAAAGGAAAAGGTGTACAGCCGACAATACTCTGCGCCCATTCTGAAGCGCAAGAGCTCCAGGTTTGGATTGGGTCAGTTGCTGGGGTCCACCCCGCCTAATAACAGTATACCAGGTAGTGTAGTGTGTCTGCATAGCTTAGCTGTTTTTATAGCGTATGTGTACGCATAAATGTTTCTTTGTGCTAAACACCGTTCTCGAAATCTACCGAGGATACACAGGAAATTGCGAAAAATTTCATTACAGGTCAATCGGTAAGTTCCTGAAGAAATTCGATTTCCAGTCAGATTGGTTATACTCATTTAAAGATTGAATTACTCCGTAATACATTATACACTCTTGTGCTATCAGCATAGGAAAACACTTTTATCTTATCGCTTGTGCATGTTAGATTATATAATGGAACGTGTAGTTAAAGATTCTTATTGCCTTGCTTAATTATCTTCTTAAGCAATGCTAATTGTTGTATACTTAACGGTATTTTATAGCAAATTACTTTATTAAGGAATATCATAATTACGCAAGTGATTAATTAGTTGACTGGTTGCTCCAGAACTATTCATATTCTACTTATAAATTTGTATTTATCGTAGTCTTACGTTTTATATTTGATATTTTTATATCTCTTCATTTCTTTTCTTGTCCTGTTTTTGGAATTTTTAATATTCAACGAATGTATCATTTTTTCAGATGGTCATATACATTCTCTCAATATGCCTGAGGACGGTGGGAATCTTCCAGGATTTACGCATAAGATTATTGACGTGGAAGAATCTGACAAGGAAACGATGCACCTGCTTGTGTTTCTACTTATGCAATTTTTATCAAGAACCGATCAAGTATGCGATACTTTATCAATAATACTGATCGTTATTTCTTAGAATTTCACACTTTTATACTCCAATCACATTTGATAGGCATATCCCACGGATGAGAAATTATTATCAAAAACACAAGGAATAGTTTTGAGACACCTGTACCTTTTATTGGGATACAATCAGAACGAACGAACTTTTCATACATCGCCACAGCGTTTAAGGTACAAATATTTCATTGCAATTAAATAAATTTTAGATCCAAAATGATTAATTAATTAATTTATCATTTTATTCTTATCTTAGATTGTCTCCAGTATTCAACGTATTCATAGCAAACCTACCTCAACTATTGGACCAAAATCATATAATGAGTTGGCTAATGATCCCACCGATTTTGGCAATCCTTCAGCATTGTCCTTGTCCACCTCAAGGTGTTCCATCTACGGATCATCAACCACCTACCTACAGTCTCTGGTACCTGGAACCTCACGCGAGACGTTCCTGGCTCATGTCTCTTCTTGTGATCCTTTACAAGGTGAACATTACAGTAATTTGATTAAGAAGAAAAAAAAGAATTGACATTTATAAAAATTAAATTTAGTGCCAATACGGTCAGCAGCCCTGGTGTAGTCAACTTCAGTCATTAGTCAAGATAGTTTTGAATACGCTTGATACTCAGCATCATCAGTGCAAAAGGATTCCAGCTACAGTCGTCATGGCTGGCCCACCATCCAGGTCCCGTGGTGAGAAATAAGAACTAAGTCAGATCCTCAATAAGAATTCACAATAATAGTTACACATGTAAACAACTTTTTAACTAGATGTCTCGCAGCCATCATTGGGTGGTGATCATGATTTTGCGTCATGCGCCCCAGGTGATATGGATAACGAAAGTCCACCGATGCGGACACCCATCATATCCATACATCAGCGTAGTCCTGGACCAAGTCATTTGCAGTCCCATGCCATGGAAACGCACTGGGAAGAAATCGTACCTGCATGTCTCTATCCAAACAAGCATTCAAGGTCGTTTTTCATTAAATTGCACAATTTCGCTGCACCACAGTATCACAGTTCAGAAACGTAGCGAGTATTGGAGTATGCCAAATTTTGGCGTTTACAATTATTAGCAGAACGTAGTAAATCACGAGATCCTTAACAGCTCTTCTAATCCTCTTAATCAATTAGTATGACCTATTACCTCCTAATCACATTCCTATAACGCACATTGATCGCACTTATAACAAGGTATGCAAAGTAGTTTGTGATAAATGAATATTTGCACTAATCTGACAATTTTAAGAAAAAACTCTAATCATACACGGACCTCTCCGGTAGGATGTGTTTTTCTATCCTTTTCTTTTGCCACAATTACATCCATACTAGATATACCAGTAGGAAGCAGAAGTTTATCACATTTGCTTGAGTTTACGTTTGTAGCTGCTTTTTACAATTCTCGCCATTGTCAATGCTTTGCAAAGCTACTCGATCAATGCGGACGATACGGAGTCCGAGCTGGCTGCAATACCAGAGAGTCCGAAATCCGACAGCACTCTACATGGAAGCAGCGGAGGATCACTTGGTGAACTCGAGGACAGTGCAGCCGTCGTGAGACGCAGTGCCTCGGTGGTCGTAGGGAAAACAACTGCTGTGATAGACTGCGCCGGGAAGACTGAGGCCGACAATATGTATCGACTTAAGCAAGAAACGACTAATAGACCAATTTGGTTTCTGGGGAGTGAAGATGAAACGCACCAGGTACTTGTGTAGTCATCTTTATAATCGGCGAAAACTATTGTTAGGTGTCAAACCTATTTGTAATTTTGGTTCATTGTTTTGACAGGTTAACGGTACTGGTCAGAAAAAGTGGAGTGTTCATGAAGGTGTCAAAATGATGGTGACCAGTTCACTTTTATCTAGGCAACATGAATCCCTTCGTTTTCCATCATCAGTTAAGGCGAATGTTGCTGTTCATGCTACTAATAATGACAATCCATCTCCAAAGCCAACTGGACTGTGTAGTGCTATTGCTGTTGCTGCTGGTATATCTAATATACAAAGGTACAAAATTGTATCAAGTCAGTATGTGTAAAAAATCAGTGAATTTAAAACATAATTCGAGTTTTGGATTTAATTTAATATATTGAAATTGGGTTATTGGTGATGAGATGAAGATCTTTTTTTTTAGATCAGAACCTTCTTCGTCTCCTAAGGAGAAGACACTTCCGATCCGGACTGACAACTCGGATTCGCCAGGTCCTAAGCAGTTGGGTCGTCAGAAACACGTGGACCAAACGACTCCATTGGCATCTCCAGTTTCTCCTTCTCAGGTCGTCGCAGTAATTGGCAGTGATAGGTCCAGTTCGCCAGCTGTCAGTTCCATGTCATCGCCAATGACAAATACGGATAATGGTCAACAGTTTTGTTGGTTGACTGGGACTCTTCAACAGGCAATGACAGCGCCAAATGTTGAGCGTCTTTTACCAATTGGGACAGTGACCCGGCCTTCGAGTAAGCGTGGAAAATCTTGCAGTTTTAATAATTACGTACAGTGCGTTTATTTTATATGTAATATCCACGATTCAGCTTCTAGTCAGAGAACGGCTCAACGGATACTCAAGTGCGAAGATACATATGGATCTCCAGAATCACCACTTTCAAAGATGGACATTTTGACTGTCAGTAAGTATAAAATACTTGGAACATCAGTTAATTTTACACTGAGATTTCACTACCTTGCTTATGTTAAGATAAATCTCTCATAAATATATCACGTCATTAATCATTCGTAACAAAATCTAGATCTAATTATATCTTCAGGTTCATCGTTCGATCAAGACAGCGAGACTTGTATGTCCAGTGATATAACCAGCCCTCGAAGTATATCCCAACTGGAATTCCCAATGCCAGAACGCTTGCTACCAGTTGGTCCACAAAGAGATTTCGTCACTGGACTTGTAGAACGAGTACGTCAAGCCCTAGGAGTACCTGATAACGAAGGTATGTACATTAATTTCTCAAAAATAAGAGCATCAATCGCAAGAGTTTCAATGAATATCATTAAAACACTTCAGATCCAAAGAGCGTATCTTGTGATGTATCGGGAGAAGGGAAAGCCTCACAATTTCCCTTAAAACAAGATAGCGTTACTTCTGAGAACCTGGTAAAAAATTATGATAAAAATATATATAGAATTTAATATTGATGATAGCACTGTTTAAATTAAATTTTTTCATTTCATAGTCAACCTCTCTGGTACCAACATTACACGAGGTACATTCGAGCAGATCAGCAAGTCCAAGAAGATTGATCAAACAAGTCGCCCTGGAATCACCGCCATCAGCAATGGAATCAGAAGATTTTGGTTCACGAATATCGGATCAGGATCGCAGGCCTAAAGTGAAAGATCAAATTCGCACGCAGAGAGACAGAATGCGAAAAACTCCAACCGGGACTCAACACACCATAGGATCAACTCGGCGAACGGATTCTTGGTATGAAATATTTCTCTTCTCTTATTCATATTCTATGTGATTTATTAAAAGACAAGATTATTAAAGTGCGAAGACAATGCCATGGGTTAATTTACCTCTAGGTCTGGGCCTCAAATGCAGCCGAATTTAGATTTTGTGACGCAACAAGCATGTCACGCTGATTTTAATTTAAAACCAAGTTTGTTTCGCATCGGAGATGATTGTATTTACGATAGGTAAAATCATACGTATTTTGGAAATCACTCAGGCAAGATCATCTTCACGAGAGCTCAATTATTGTCATGTTTCTTTATCATTATATAGGTGCTCTGAGTGCGGTACTATTAAGGAGGAATATTCTGACGAGGAACTTGGCCTTTGCATCATCACTCTGGGAACTTTCATTCATCGTGAACCGTCGTTGGCAGCTCCACTACTTCCGGAAATTCTAAACGTCGTTACCAAGTGGGTAGCAGTCGTAATAATATCATTCGAACTTCTCTTTAAACTATGGATAATATTAACAATTTTATTATAATTACAGAGTAGCCTTGAACGCAATGTATCCTTGGCAAAGTGAAACGAACATGCATTTACCAGGAGGCGCAGTGAGCGTTGCGCACCAGTTCCTCAGGTGCGTTTTGCACCAGTTGGCACCCAATGGCGTTTTTGTCCAAATGTTTCAGACGCACATAAACGGTGAGATGACGATTGGTTACCAACAGATTTCAATAACAGAATTACTCATACATATTATTCTTTCAGAATCGACAAGAATTCAATTTTTTAAAAGCGTGGCACAGGCTCTGGTGGATTTCAATGAATTAAATCCAATTGCCCCTTTACAATTGTTATTAGAGGTATAATCAGTATTATTTCAAATGCTTCTATGCGTTATAACGGAATACAATTTTGAATAAATATAATTTTATTCCAGACATTAAATGCCAAAAAGTCATTGCCTTTGGAACGATTGCCAATAATATTGCATAATATTGCGTGCTACTTGGATTGCTTACCGTTGGAAGCCGGTTTAGGTCCTGGGGCTGCCACTTGGGGAGGATTATTGGCACAAGTCGATGGACTCTTTCGTCAACTTATTTTACTTCTTTCGTCTATAGACGACGTCACGCCTCTACTTCGTATCATGATTTCCGTTTTGAAGGTCCCAGGAATTCAGCAATTTAAGGTAAGTAAAAGTATCAGTCATTCGTTATATACTGTAAAATGGATCAATAGTAGTTAGCATACCACACGATTTCCTTTTACTTTCAGGGCATGTTAGATCCATTCTCAAAAGTTCTGAGCTACTCCATTCAACATTCCACACTGAAGTACAGTTACCTGACAGATTTATGTTATCTATGTCATCGCAGTTTCACGCGAGAACGTGATAAGCATTTCTTAGGCAGAACCATAGTTTTTGAATTGGTTCAAGCTATCAAATTCAAAACTACCATTCCAGACTCGAACTTTTTAATTTTACTACATTTCGTACTTCAGGTAAGATTCTCAAAAGATTTTCGAAAAATCCGTACACGTTTATAAAAAATCTTGAAGATTACTGAAGTATTTCATCTCAACAGGACATCGGTGGCACGTTGCCCACAAACATAGCAATGGGAAACATTCGAACCGATATGTCACCAATATACAACACAAATGCTTCTGAATCATTGCGAAGTCAAATTTCCGATGTTCTGGATTTTCTAGCAGACTTTCACACTCTAAGCAAGGTCAAGGTAAACTCACAAGAAATTCATATGTATTATAAATAAAAATATAAATGTACAGTCTAGTCAGTGCTTCTATTCTATGTATCGTTCTAGAGCTACAGCAAGGGCATGCAGGTTGGTCTAAACGAAGATACATTAGGTGGGATGTTAAAATGTGGTCTGGCTCAGTATGTTGCGTTAGAAATCACTAGAGGGAACAATAGAGACAACAGAGCTGTCGTTCGTTATTTGCCCTGGCTTTACAGCGCACCATCCACTTTACAACAAGGGTGAGTAGCCACGTTTAATGCTACCATACGAGTCCAGAAATAGAATTTGTTAAATTACAAAATTAACAGCTTCAACAACCAATTTGCTTTTAGAGCTCGAGAATATGTCGATTGCATAGGCCACTTAAGGCTACTTTCTTGGCTCTTACTGGGCTCCCTTACACACACTGCAATGTTTGCTGGCAGCTGTACTCATACTCATGGTCCACCAATTCCAACCGCACAACCAATTCCACAAGAAGTTTCTTGTCACGTTGCGGATCATGTTCAAGTTATCCTTTCGGGATTTCCTGAACAGTCTAAGGCATCCGCGCAAAATATGTCTTCTCTTTTCTATGCGTTCATTCTGTGTCAGGTAACACTTTATTGACCGAAGAGAACGTGAATCCAATGAACTGTCTGAGATAATGTTATTTAATGATTGTAGTTGTGGACAGTTTATCTGGAGGAAATGTCAAAGAACAATTCAACGAACACAGAGAGTCATAACGTCACGATGAATATTGTTCTTGAGTTTTGGGGAAAAATTACACCCTGTATATTGCAACTGGTTTCACATTCCAAAGTAGTGAGTCACTGTCATGATAGTTTTTAATTTTGGTTTTTTCAGTTTATCGATACTAATTACTTGCAGCTTTCCGAACGAGTGAATCTTCATTTCTTGACATTATTGGAAGCGTTACTAGAATGTCGATCGACTTTACTTAGTAAGCTTTTGCCACTTTGGAGTCCCATTCTTTTTTCTCATCACATTCAGGTAACAGATACGTGATCGGGTAGAAACTCTTACCAAGTTTATAGAATATTAAGATCTTGTTTCTTCTCTAGTTACCCGGACACCTCCAGATGCGTTTACAGAATTGTCGAAACTTTCCACCCAGTAAGATTGCCGAGCAATTTCTTTCTAGTCGTCAAGAAGCAAATGCTGTATTGTTGCGATGGTTACACAGGCTACAATTCAAAATGGGTCAAATAGAGATGCAGTCATCAGCAGCCACTCAGTTTTATTCTATTTAAGAATTTTTAACACCGATACAAGAATCTTCTCATAAGGAAGAATATCGTTTCGGGAAAGATTGTATATGTAAAAAGAAATACTGAGACATTATTTAACAATAATAAATTATATTTAGTGTAGAATAACTGATAATAATTGTACTTTATTCTAATCCATGCTTACTTGTAGGCACAAGGTATTCCAAGGTGTATAATTGATTGACTTTAGTTTCTTGAAATATTCTTTATTAAATATTATGTACAGTACCTGTCAATTATTTAACTGTTCCTCAAACAATTTACGTTGGATTTCGTGGATAAAAACGTTGCCCAAGCAATATCGAAATGTCGTTCGTGCTTTAATGAAACAAGTGCATTATGGAAAGCATTTTTGTATGACTCCGGTATAGAGCTTGTCCGAATATGATGCAGGCAATCCATAATCTATAAATAATGATATAGAAAGTTAAACAATATTTGAGATATTTAGCTCAGGAAATTAAAAACAATGCACTACTTGTCCGATAGTTTCTTTCGAAGAAGCTTTTTGGCTAAGGATCGCCATGGCTTGAGGAAACAAATTAGCTTTGACGTCTCGCGATATAACTAAGGATTCATCATTGGCCAAGAAACAATCCGTAGCGGATAGACAGATAGTAGTAACCAGTAAAACATCACAGAGGAATGTAACAATTTTAATAGAATCTTCTTCAGGTGCATCCAATAAGGTTTTATTAATTTGTCCCATAAAATCCAAAGTCCATTCAGCACTTGAAGTTTCAGTTCGCATACCAACTCCGACTTTCTGTATTATTCTTAATATATTGATTTGAACCCTAAACGAAAAACGTACACTTTAGTAATCATTAATTAAAAAAATATATATCTTACTCACCCAGGAATAAGAGCAGCAGCGTCAATGACTTCATTCATCCAGTTCAATGGAGATTCTACTTTTTTTCTTAACAACAATTCTGATCTGATCACTGCAGCCATTCGTAGCTTCTGGGGTGTCACTTCCCACCAGAGGCTTGGCGAAGTCATTCTTTCTATGTGCTTTGTGGAAAGTTCTATAGCTGCGGTAACAAAAGAATCAAAAAGCTTTGAGTCCACATCAATTCTTTCTGAAAGACCCTCTAATATTATTGATAATAAAGTCCTGTTAGCGTCGTGTATAGTCTCATCCTTAAGAGTGCGAGAATAACAGTGCATTATCTTCTCAAAAGTTTCTACAGCCTTTTCACTATCAAGAACTGCTTTCTCCAAGGTATAATTGAGGCTAGTTTCCAAAAATGGTCTCAATGAATTTGGGGGAACACCACGGCACAGATCTTCCAGGTTCATGTATAGAGTTAGGTATTCTTTAAACAGCGAGGTGGATTCCACTTTGGATTCTGTCGTTAACGTTGCTAAGTGATTCTCAATAATTGTTCTTGCAGATGATGATATCACAGCTTGATGACAGGCAATTGCGATACTGTAATGTTTTGCTGTGGTTGAGATACTCATTGTATTTTCCAAAAAAGAACACTTTCCTGGCGGTAATGGTTTTGGATATTTTTCTGCGAATATTCGAAGACATTCAATGACAGTACTTTCTTGATGCTTATTTGAGGAGGATGAAAAAGTTCGCAGATAATCGCCTATAGCTCGGACGACACTTGATGCTGGTAAATAATTGAATGAATTATGCTCTCGCTGTCCACAAATATATATGCTTTGGGAGTAGGCATTAATTTCTTCTTTGACAAAGGCAATTAGAAGATTTCCAGCTGAATTTAGTATGGAACTATTCATTTTATCAAGCATTTGAATCCAACATTCACTTGGAATGTAGGGTAAAACATCTTCTGGTTTTCTAGCTGCTTCCATAGGAGTCTTTGCATATAAAGGTGGCAATGTGATATCCTTTCTATATTCTGCTGGTAATGACTTCAATGACATATTTTCTAGTTTATATTCTGACAGGGCTTCGAACGAAGCTCTAATAACATCCACATGGTCCCATGTAGACACAAATGTCCATAGCTTTGTGATAACTTCGAAGACCAATTTATCAAACTTGTCACCAGGGTGACTTGGATAGAATGGTATTCTTCCAAAAAGCTTACACAAGCTTACTAAAACAATTGTTCGTTTATCCTTGTTCATCTTGGGAGCCAATACTTTCCAAGTAGAACAAATGTCTATGAGACCAGACTCGCAGAGTGCTGAAATGCCTTCAAGAGCAAGTGCAGTGGCTGTGCTACCAGTAATGTCACCACAACTATTTAGAGTTTGTGATAATAATGGTACCAATTCAATACCATGCTGAGGATGATTTTCGCAAATATATTTCATAGCTTTTGCACAGGTGACATTACTTCTCCATGTTTTATTCGTTTTACTTGCATCCACGAGTGCCGCCTGAAGATATCGGTGACACCTGGTATCGTTCTCCCAAGCTTTTAAGTATAAGTTGATTGCCAAATATTTAAGGGAATTCTTAGATGTTAAAAATGTCTCCAGAGTCTGGATAATTAACGGTATATTTTCCTTGACCACGGCTAATTCCGGCAATGCAACAAGAAGAGCCTTGATTTCTTCGTAATCGCGTGATGTAGTCAGTTTGTATAAAATTAGAGATAGCAGGTGCGATGCAAAATTTTTGTTCTCCTTAACAATTCGTACGAGAATCTCGCATGTCCTTATAGTGACAGCAGGTTTATCACTGTATAGGAATAATCCACTAAGAAGCAGCTTGCATCTGTATTTCATATTATTCGGGGCATCTGCTATCTTTTTTAACCAGGTGAGAGTAGTACTCTCAGAACAGGATTCCATGCAATAACAGATTTCAGTATAAAACTGAATATTAGCATCACTGTGTTTTAACGCCATAAATACCTGGTTTGATAAAAGTCTGGAAATATTGCAAGACCACGCAGTCTTATCAGTTATTAAGCTTATCAGTTTTCGTGCCACTTCTAATGCATCGGAGGAAAAAAATGAAGGATATGCCATCCATTGTAGTAAGGATGCTAGCATTGCATAAGCAACTACTGCACTGCACTGTAATTTTTCTAATATTTTCTTACCTAAAATCAAAATAATATATCTTATAATATTAACCATTTTGAGATCTTAAATTTTATAAGAGTCCTTTCAATGTACTTACAGAGTTGAACAACGCTGAATAGATAAATGCTAGGGCATGTTGAAATTACTTCAGCCAGCAGAGCCACCGTTATGCTGCAAGAGTCACTGTCGCTACACTCAATCATAAGCGACACTATATCAAAATTAGGTCTGGGATCGCAATTAAATTCCAGAAGTTTTATAGTCGTACTGACAATGAATGGCATCAGAGACACGCAATATTGCTTGTCCTTATTAGCTGCTACTACTTCTGCCAATTCGAGAAGTCTATAGTTCGTTTCCAGACACATATTTATATTTTTTATTCGCATCCATTGCAAAGCTTCAATTTGCAAACGCTTTGTGATCCTTGATTTAATTAAGAGATGCCAAGTTTGTTGTCGACAACTCTCTGAGAGGGACAATGAGGGATTACATAAAATGTACAAGTACACTGGTCGCAGCAGCTCGACACTGTGACAACCAATTCTGAAAGACAAAAATATATACTTAAGTAACTTCAGATTGGTAATTCATGTATCAAACTTACTCATTTTGATGATGATTCATAATAAACTGCATTTGAGTTAGCACGTCTCTCCAAACATCTTTCTTCTGGTTGAGGACAGTGATTAATGGATGTTGAGGAGCTTTCAGAGTAAATGGACACAGATATTCATTCTGATCTGCACGACCTCTTAGGTCAAGCAATAATAAGTTACTTATAGCAACAGTTACTGCTGAGTAGTTTCTAATAAAGAAGACATCAATTATATTTTATGATGTAGGTTATAAATAACTAATACCACTTTCTAATGATATTACTTACTCCGTAACACCAAGAGAAGCTATAAAATTTGATAGAGTGCTTGCCACAGGCAAAACACCAGTTTCTACCAAGCTAACGAGTGCTTGACATGCTGTCACACTTACAACTGAATTTTCATTTACACATTTAGATAAAAGTAGCTTCAACTCAGGCGTCTACAAAGTAAGTCAGATAAGTCTCTAAACGATACATAAAAATGACAAAATAAGATCCAATCTATGCCATACCTTCGACAAATCCCCATAGTTCGTGTCTTTGCTCTTTTGGTTGATTATATCCAAAAGTTTAGAAATAGCCTAATAAATATTAAATATTTAAATTAATTTGTTCGTACACTCAATGTAGACTTATAATATATACTTACATTAGATATAAGTACAGCATTATTTGTTTTGAGTTTGTATTCAATTTCATCCATGCTGAGATATATTATATTATTATACAAGAATTGATAATTACATGAAAATTTAGATCTCTAAACAACATTCATTTCCCATTGTCAAATTTATATATTAGACATAGAGATGTTAGATACAACAATAACGTCAAACTAGGTCTTCCCTTATTTCAACACAAGCTAGATTTGAAAACTCCGACAAGTTTCTGTAACTCCGTATCACTCTGTATCATCGTATTGCTCCGTATGGAGGATCGTCAGGGGTAGTCAGGGGTTAATCTGTATACAGAAATTAAAAGAATCTCTGCTGAAACTAAACTTGTGCACAGTCGAAAGGAAGATAATTGCAGTGTGATCGAATAATAAAGAAAATTAAGCAGAGTAATTTAAGTTTTATAAGAAAAGGAGAACGACGAAGTGAAGCCCAATTCACATCAGATACTTTTGAGCTGTCAGTTGTCAAACACTGTACTGATCCAAAAAGACACTTTATTTATTGATATTACCTTTATAATAAATAAATTGTGTTAAACAATTGAGTCTAACAATGAATCAAACGTCCAGATTAGAAATAAATGTTAGACGTCTATTAAATCGTTGTGAACTTATGGCTACAGAAGATCCTCAAAATGATTGGAGACTCGAAAAGGTATTTTTAATAATCTAATAAAACTAAGAATTGTTTTTTAATGAATATTCTAGTGAGTAATTTTAATTCTCTTCATTACAGTTTATATTCCACGTGGAAGATATGGTCAAAGAATTGCAGACATTACCTAAGTAACTACATCCACATCTTTTAATATTATGCAAAAAATATTTGTTTTTATCAACATTAAATTTATAATTATGAGAAGTATAGTTTTGTGTAATCTCATAGTATCTCATATTATGGTAAAATTAATGGAAAATAAACATGTTTCAGTAAACCATCGAGAGATACAATGACAGAATACATAAGACGTGTTGATTTTTTAAAAGGATTAGTCGGAACCGCAAAACTGTCTAATCCAGTTGAACGTGTAACTGCTGCTCAGTTATTATCAAAGAGTCCAATAACAACAACAGCAGATTCTACTGGACCAAACATAACAACACAAATCCATCAAAAAATAACTGCAAAGTATAACAATGAATTACGTGCTGATTTATTTAGCAGTGATAAGGGTAATTTGATGTTTAGAAAAGAGTCACAACCAATAAATGATATCTCATTACCACACTACATTATACTCATAATCGGATGGTTCTAATAGACTTCATAAATTAATACTTGACGTAGAGTTACATTTGTAAATTGATATTCACATAATTTTATTGCATCTCTCTAGGATCTACTGATGATGGCCTAAGACAAAGATCTCTAATTTCTCCTACTCAAGATGAGGATTTAGACGCACTGTTGAAGTACAACAGAAACATTCAAGAAAAGATTGCAGAGAATATGCTCATGATGACGAGTAATATGAAGGAACATGCATTAACTGCAAGTGCTATAATTAAAAAGGATATTAATTCATTAGAACAATCTGATAAACTGACGGACGTTAACGCCACCAAATTGAAAACAGAATCTTTAAAATTGGAAGAACACACCAAATCAAACTGGAGGTGTTGGGTATGGTTAATGGTGGGATTGGTTCTTGTAATATTTTTCAGTAAGTATAATATAATCTGATAAGAGTTCTACAACTACATTTTCCTATAACGTATTTTTTTTCAGATATGGTATTGTTTATGAAAGTGGCAAAGAAGAAGATTCTATGAAAATTTTATTGTGATTAAGGGATACGTGTAATCATAAATAAATTTTTTTAAAGAAAATCTGTAAAATAAATTTGCGGGTGTGGTCTGCGCATACCACTGTGACCTGGCTACAAATATGCTTTATCGTTTATGAATGTGTGCGTTTATTATTATTATGATAAGAATGGCTGCCACAGTGGACGCATCTGTCAAACCGTCTATACCACCTAAACCCACTCCAAAACCTGGTAATTATTATGCATTGCGGTATTGTGTATTTATATCATTTGCGTCAATGTTTTTGTAGTGCATAACAATATATTTCCCCAAACGGGAAAGTGGTCCTATGTGTTTTCAATCCACCTCAAGTCTTCTGCACTAAGATTACTAATAATATACTTTATCTGTGGACTATTTCCACAGGTCCCTAAAATTTGTGTTGAATATAAAAATGAAATAAATTAGGATTTTACGATTGTTATTGTACAAGCTGCTGTTATATCTTTAATTTAATAATCAACTTTGGCTTTTTACTATAACGTCATTCAGAATTGTGCATTGCATGTATGAGAATTTAAATGCTTTCCCTTTACATGATGTTGCATCTTCAATTTATTTTTTTTTCACACTACACAGTTTTGAAAAAACAGTAATTGCCTTTTAAGATTTCTTTTGATTTTAAGGCAGGGTGAAAGTAGTGAGAGCCCTGTACAAGTACACAGCCCAGCATGTAAGTAACTTAATAATTGCTGCACTGTTAGATTAAACAATTGTTCGAGTGTAGTAAAAATATGATAGAAATATAAATACTTTTGTCTCCTTATGACAGGCAGATGAGCTGTCCTTCGAAGAAGGTGAACTTCTTTATGTATATGACCAAGATCAGGACCCTAACTGGTGGAAGGCTCGTTGTGGTAATAGACAAGGACTCATACCTGCCAATTTTGGTTAGTGCTTTATGAATAATCAATAAATATTCTAATACAATTAAATTTATAATTCTTTGTTAATATTTAGTTGAAGAACAGATGCAAGAAGTGGAATTACCGTTACACGAAGCTGCAAGACGTGGAAACTTATCCTTTTTGAAGGAATGTCTGAATGGAGGTGTTTCAGGAACAGGATTAGATTCAGCTGGAAATACACCATTGTATTGGGCTGCACGTGCTGGTCACGTTGACTGTGTAAAAGAACTCTTACAGGTGTCAAATCCAGCAATCAATGCACAGGTAAATAATCAGGTATGAATCATTACAAAAGAGTTTATCCAAACTGAAATCTTGTGTTGAATATAGAACAGAATGGGTGATACACCGCTGCATGCTGCTGCTAATCATGGACACTTTGAAGTGACCAGCTTATTATTGGAGGCTGGAACTGATGTGACTCTTAGGAACAATGACGGATTACTACCAGAAGATCTAGCCTCTGATACTTCGATTAAGAATGCTATACAAATGAGTCAAAGAGAACAGGCCATGACTTACGGATATAGAGATGAGGATTATGAGGATGAAAGTGATTGAATATATTGTTTTAATAGAGATGTTGAGATATTGAGATATTATTCCAGAGAGACATGTTCAATTTCCTACAGTTGTATATATCTGAAAGTATAGAGATCTCAGAATTATATATTGCTTCATGCAGACTCAATTAAAATATATTAAACGATGTCTTCTTTTAATAAAGATCTCATAAGTACGAAGAATCAGGGTATTATGATAAAGGATCGATGTAGCACGGTTTTAAGTATTACCTATATTTTAATACGAAAAATCAGTGCATATATGTAGTGTAATCTAAGAAATTTTATACATTTAATTTTCATCGATACAGTATTCTCCAAGGTGTTTTATAATTAGAATGTGTTAAATAAATACTATTATGGCAACTCTAAAATAAATTGTAATTCGACTGGCAGTACCTATATTCATCACATAGAGAAAAATATTTGATTATATATTAAATACTTCTTCGTAGGATGACATGAACACATAATTGCTAATATATTAAGGACGAATAAGGGACAGGCCTTGAAGATCACTAATAGTCATGAATATTTAGTCATAGTATTTCAGAGATTCCGCAACAGTCTAAACTTTTCTTCTTCTTCTGTATTAATTCGTTGGCACTAATTAGAATAAGCTAAACTTTCCTACTAAACCATCTGTTAAAATCTAATCGCAAAAGTAATTGTGCTAGATGCTCTCCACAGGGTTGTGCACGAACCTTGTTTAAGGTTTTGGTTAACCAATCCATGAGACCGTCTAAAGCCTCAGAAAGATTTTTCAGTTCTTCTTTTTCAGTTGGAAGTAAATTATCGACTTCCCACATAGAAGTTTGTAAAATGAAATCATCACAGAGTCGCAAGAGAAGACGTATTAATTTATTTACCTGCAAAATAAGACACAGTTCTTCTAACGTATGTTTCAAACTCTAAAATCTTTTTATGATTAGGAACCGAATAAAGAATTATAATAATTCATAACCAGCTTACTGGATTTCCTCTTCCCGTAGTGGATCCTGATAAAAATGTCTGAGACATTATATTAGCCAAAAAGATTGAATGTGCACTCTGTACGTCTTCAAAATTTCTTGTATTCTTCATACTGTTTTCCATTATTGTATACTGACTCTCCAGAACATCCACTTGCAAATAATATTGCAAATTGTCAACAGCAAAGATCAAATTATTTCTCAATTGAGTAACACCGATCTCACTATAAAATAATATACCACTTGATTTTTCTTATGTTAAAATTATTTTATAGGTGGCCTCATAACTTACACATTTTTTGCTCTCATATGTTCGCTCCAAAGATTTCTCAAATTAATTTGAGTCTTTTTAACTCGTAAGAGAAATCGGAATACAGTGTTATAATCCTTTAAAGCTGTTGGGCTGAACAATAAATGTAATGGCCACACAACTTTATATTGAAGAATAATCAAGCCCCAGCCTCGCTTTTCTGAAATAGTTTTTAATGTGAATTAATTCAAGCTATTCAAATATAGTACTATATAATTTATATAATACATACCAATGGGATCTTGTCGTTCCTTTTCAGAAATCCCAGCGCTATCTTTTATCTCATCATCATTTTTTTCAGTTTCTGTTTCAGGAACTGGAACAAGAAAGCTGAAACTTTCCACAGCGCTTTCATCGTTAAGATGCATTTTCCTTAAAGTCATCTGAAATGCTAGATTTACATCTCGCGACGTATGGCTCGTGGGTATCTTCTTAAGTATATCAGCAGTAAGACCAATAAATTCCAAAAACAAATCGCCGCGTCCAAAGAGGTAGAAATCTTTTATCAATTTCAGTTGTTGCATAAGTTGAGCCTCCTCAACTGCGACCCGCCAAAGATGTTCAGTGACGCATCGCTTCAATTCATCGACAGTTCGCTCAAATTCAATTATACTGAAAGTCGGTCTCGTTTGAAGATTCTGAAGTTTGTGGAAGTATTCATATTCCTTTTCGCCCCATATTGAATTTTCAGCCTTTGTGAAGACATTAAAATCTAGTCAAAATATATATAATAATCTGTAGCCTAATACTAATTACATATGTCAGTAAATAGTCAAGTATTGAAATTTGCCTTTTTTTTGTCGAGGATCATTGCCAAACATAATAATAGTTTGACCAATAGTGAGAACTTTCCCTGCTAGGGATGGTCTGATGTAAGAAGGTAACATATCGACTTGTATGTCGTAATCCCACATGTCTGTAAGGGATTTCCCAGAGTTTTGCTCTTCAGTAATGCCAGAACTATCCTTGTCGTTGACAAGTGCTAAATTATTTTTGACATCTGGTATTTTCTGAATGAAAAATTCTTTGTAACTATCCTCCAAGTGTCCATACAAGAGCCAACTTGTAAGTTGCTTATAAAATATTATATGACAGCAGTGTACCATTCTAAAGATATTGTTTATAGCATGAAAACAAAATGTACTCATACGAATTTTAAATGTTTATATGCTAATCGATTCTTACTTTTCAAGAGCCACTTTGACATCGAGGACACCAGTGTGCATGTAACGATGTAGACATTGTAGTAATTTACATCCGTGTGTCTTTTGCGTAATAATCTGAAGAACATATAAATATGGTAAGTGGATTTATTTTGTTTAAATTATATAAAGTACTTAGATACTAAAGTTTTCATACCTCACGTATTATGGAATTAAGGACAGAGATTAAAGGGATATACTTTTGTACATGACAAAGAATTAACGATAGTGGTGTATGTGCATCATTTAAAATAATCTGTTCCAGATCTACAATATTTTGATTAAATGGCTCCAGTGCCTGATCCATACCATTGCATAATGCACGAAGATATAGCCCTGGTCTTAGATATTCGGCATCTAATAAATTTAAAGCATTATCATAAAAATGTACTCTCTAAACAAACATCATGAAAGGACACCAATATTATGCTCGAGCATTTCTACGTACATACCATTTGCATTGCCTGCTTTATTGTGAATTAATTTGTGCTGTTTTACAAATTTTCTTATTACATTTAATTCATCAGCTATAGCTGAAATCTCTTTTATCAATAATCTTTCTCCTGGATGGAGAACCTTCTCCAATTCTGGATTCTTAAAATAACAAAGATTTTTATTAAGAAAATTATTGTTCAAGTCATATGACAAAATGAACAAAAGTATTAACAATATAACATGCAATTAGGCTTAAATTCCATGATAAAATGAAATGTAGACACATTAATGCAGTACGTATGCTTCTTCCATTGTAAGGTTAAATTTCGTTACATTATTTTATACCAATATCAGTAACTATTCTTACATCTGATTCTGCAAACTGTAAGATACCGGTTGACCAGCCTGATAACGACAACAGAATTTCATGTAACATCTTATCAAATTTGAATTGTCTCCTTATTTCTTTCAAATATAAAAGATTCTTGCTTCCTGTCAACAGCTGATGTGCCGAATCAGAATGTTCTCTGGCCAAATCATGCCGAATGTATAACCAGAGATGAGTACCCTACTCATAACCATGTTGCGTGCTTAGCAGTGTGATGCCTTATTTTCGATTCTGAAAAATTGTATATTTTCCTGTATTATACGCTCAAGTTTAAGAAAAACATAAGTGAGGATTAATATTATAACATTGTGTATAATTAGAACAGATGTATAAAGGACGCCTCATCTGTACGGTTGTGATATTACGTTGTATTGCGTCAATTACAGTATCAATATTGACACATTCATATTTAATTGACATATGTATTTAAATTATGATAAGATTAAAACTAGGAGTACAATTTTCAGACAGCTAATCTATCAATCGGTTATTCTATTGTGGATAGGTGCTTCATCAACATTATGGGAAATAACAAGTATAGCAACTTTGCTAGTGGTTATCTATTTGGAATATGGGGTCTAATGATGCACTTGGTGATCCTGTGGGGTGTCTTAGATGCAAATTTTCATTCTCCGATAATTAAAGATTTACCAATAATAAAACCACCTGTCGGCGCTCCAGCAAAAAGGCTTTTGCTTTTTGTAGCAGATGGTTTGCGCTTTCGAACATTTATAGAGAACCCACCGCCATATCTCAAGTAACTATACTACTGATCTATTAAAAAAAAGTTCCTGTAATCTTTTTTAAATTAACACGTTCTTTTTAACAGAAATGTGATGGATGAACATGGAGCTTGGGGTGTTTCCCACACCAGAGTACCTACAGAATCGAGACCTGGAAATGTAGCCATAGCTGCAGGTGTCTATGAAGACCCCAGTGCTATTTTTACAGGATGGAAAGAGAACCCAGTGGACTTTGATTCAGTCTTTAATCAAAGTTATAAAACGTGGGCGTGGGGTAGTCCGGATATTGTTCCTATGTTCGCAAAGGGTTCAGAGACCAAGGTACATGGTGAGAGTTATCCTGCAGAGTGGGAGGATTTTGATGGTTCAACAATCCGATTAGATTCCTGGGTCTTTGAGCGATTTTCAAATTGGCTTGAGACTGATGCAGCAACTGTAAAAAATAAAACTCAAATCATATTGTTCTTCCACTTGTTGGGATGTGATACAGCAGGACATGCCAGCAAACCACAATCCAGGTAAACTAATGTATTCTGTGAATGACATGCCCAGCGCTGTCACATATGGAAGCATACATAGTAGTTTCTTTATCGCAGACATCATTCCTCTACCTCTCAATTCAATTTGGATACAGTGAGTACCTGGATAATATGAAATACGTGGACCAGCAGATAAAGGAAGTTGTAAGCAAAACAGAAGCTTTCTTTGGAGACAACCACACTGCATATCTCTTTACTGCTGACCATGGGATGACTGACTGGGGTTCTCATGGAAGTGGCTCCAAAGATGAGACTGAAACTCCTCTGGTTGTCTGGGGTGCAGGGATCAAAAATTTGAAGTCTCGTCAAAATATTGAGCAAGCTGACATAACTCCACTAATTTCATCACTCCTGGGGATACCCATTCCCGTAAATAACGAAGTAATGTCACAATTTAATCGATGAGCTATACCAATTCCAGTAAGTCTGATTATTTTAATTAATTGGATTTCAGGGTGTCTTACCAAAACAATTTTTAAAACTTGGACAAAAGGCATACGGTGCACGTGCATTACTGAACAACATAAAACAACTTGTTGTGCAAGTAACAGCTAATCGTATTCAGAATGAAGGTATTAGTACACAGAAGCACAAGAAGGAACAAGAATTAGAAAAGAATATAGTGAACATAGAACAACTTCTTGCTGAAAAGAAATTTATAAGTGCTTTGAAACAAGGGGAGAAGACTATAGAACTAGCGAAGACATCATTACTGTACTTCCGTCAATACCAAAGAAATCGTCTGATGCTATATTTGACTATAATTTGGGTGGGCTGGATAGCGATGCTCTTTTTGAAAGTAACTGGAGTATCTTATCACGAGGAGAAACCAAGTCAATTATTATTAGCTAATATTGGATTCGCCTGTGGTGTTGTTTTGTTACTTATTGAGCACAAAGGTTTGTGGAAATTAACGAGTATTTGAGTAAATATTATTTATAAATATTTAACAATTTTTTACAGTTTCAGGATCTTCGGATTGGAGATTACCCTGTTATGGGATAACAGCGTTGGTTTCTTCGTGGCTAGCAGTACGGACTGGTATGAAATTAGTGCCAAAATTGGACCTACGCAATGAAAAATATCCGTGGGTTGGAATTCTCGTAATCATTTTCCTAATAGTAACAATGTCAACTGGTTTAATATACCGTTGGATTTTTGGTATTGGAATGCTCTTTGCAGCAGCTATGCAAAGAATTTTATTGAAGGACAGTCATCCAATGCTCCCTTGGACAGCCATAAGTCTTGCTGTGTTTCCATTGCTGCCTGTCGTTGAGCCACAACCACGTATATACATAGTGTGAGTTTCTGGTTGATGATGAAATCTTATCGATTTTATGTGCTTACTAACTGACAATATATTTGAAATATTGATCCCCAGTCTGGCAAGCCTGGTAGCTGCAGCAACAACATTGCTGTTTAACAGATCAATGAGCAAGTCCTTGAAACTCATGGAAGCTTTACGTTTAGTGACTACCATGTCAATATGTGCCAATTATGTTGATGGCCGTGGATGGTTATCATGGATAATCCTACTTCTAACACCATTTAGCATTTGGGTACATTCTGACAATCCAAAAGAGAGAATAGTAGGTGTAGCTCATGGTCTTCTGTGCCCGCTGGCACTTTTATCAGCTTCCTACGAGCCAATTTTCTTCCTTGGACTGACAGCACATTTACTGTGCTGGCCACTGCATTCGACACTTTCACATAGGATGACTGGAGAGGTTCGTCTCAACATACAAGATCTGTCCAGAGCAGGATTTCTCGTATCCTTTTAATACAATCAATTTATGAATATTAATTTAGTGATATTTAATCCATAAACAAATCCTTAACGCATTCAACAGATGTTATACACTTTACTTTGTTTCTTCGGAACAGGCAACATGGCCAGCATAAGTTCATTCGATCCTTCATGGACTCGTCACTTTGTTACACTTTTTTCACCGTTCACCATGGCTGCTTTGATTTTACTAAAATTGAGCATACCCCTCTTACTCGTCGGTTGCGTAAGCCGCACTTTGGTATCATACTCGATTTTCTTAGCTGTACTTTTATTAGGAGATTGTTTAGCACTGCCATTAATGTATGGCGTTACTTCTCAGGGTAGTTGGCTCGATATTGGCAGTGCTATTAGTCGTTTCACTATCGCCATTACATTACCCTGCTTATTATTGCTTTTATATCACCTGTCTTATCCCCTTGTTACTATTAATCTCAAAAGATCAAGTTCAATTTCTGAGAAGGAACATTTAGTGTAAACTGTCCAATACAATTGTCAAGTAAAAGAGACCAAAAACTTTTTTATAATTCTGATCGCACTGAGTATTCAATAAATCTGAGGTTTCTGCGGTGAACATATTGCGTTAATAATTGCAACTGGTACGCTATGTTTAGAAATCTTTATACACTTGAGTATATTTTATTGAAGTTCATGATTTGTTTCTTCGTGAGAAATAGTTGTACTGTTAGTGTGCGTTGGAGCATGATCGCACATTTCACGATGGGTGCAGTATTTAATAAATAATGTACAATAAATTATGTAAATCTGAATTGCATTAAGTTTTTCTTTTCTTTTCTTTTCTTTTTTTTTTTTTTTTTTTTTTTTTTTTTTTTTTTTTTTTTTTTT